CGAAGCAAAGAAAGAAACCGGAGTTGCATCATTCTCATGAAGATCTGTCACCGCCGTCGATTATGAAGTCACAGTGTGGTGTGCCGAACGAGGAACGATCGTCTCAAGATGTTCCACGGGATCGCGAGCCAGGAGGAAGTACTGCTCACGGCCTGCCTCAATCAGGGAAGGAGCGTCCAGGAGGGGATGACGACGCTTCCAAACCTAGAAAAACGCACTGCATGATGCGCGGCTTGCGCTACCCGGTGCCCCATCCGAGGAGGAAGAAAGCGGAGAAAGATAACCCGAGGCAACCACGACAACGCAACCAAGCGACTAGAACCACACACACGTTCAAGCGACCGTGGCCTTGGGTGAGACAGCCAGCACCAAAACGAAGGTTGTTGAGGGAAGTGTTGGAAGACGAGTATGGACGCACGATAGAACGGTTCCGAGACGACTTCTTCCGCTGTGAAAATCTCAGTATCTGACGGAGTAGATCGTCAAGCGACAACAGATGGCGTCTCCACCCAAAGAGCAGGCAGCCCCAATGACTGTAGGAGCCGAGCGGGAGGAAAGAAGAGAAGATCGTGATGAGAGCATCAAGTGCCGATTGAAGGAATACCAACGGAAGAGAATAGACCATACGACCAGTTGGAATGAGAATATAGATGACCAATTGATGATGATCGCGTTTGAGTTCATTCGTGCAATGGCGAACGACCCTCTCATGATATGGTATATCCGCGGAAAGATCGTCGTCCAGAACGGCGATGACTGGTTCTCAAAACCAGTGCTCTACGTCGAATTGAATCTACTTGCCGCGTGTCTGGCCTGGTTGATGGCACGTGGGGCCAGATCATGTGAATCTAACATGTAGTGGTCGAGGCGCCGAATGGTGCAACTTGTGGAAAGCCGATCGTGCGAGATCCGCGGACTATATGCTGGTAGATGAAGCGACCGGTAGGAATCAAACTTCGCATCAAGATGTTGTGAGAGGCGAGGTATTCGGTAGGAAGCAAAGCCTCTCGATCTCGGCGAGGCCGCGACGCATTTTCATCAGAGACGAGGGTGTCCAGTAGAGGATTCTAATTCTGCATTGCGGGATTGAACAACCCGGCCGCAGCACCCAACTGCATCTCCCCTGCATGTCTTGCAGTGACCCACTCCTGGAACCGCTGTCTTGGGTGAGTCCGAATTGAACACGACCGATGGCGTGGATAAAATCGCATGTGAGAACGCGACGAAAGGCCGTACATCTTGTAAAAGGCTCAACGTTTGAGACGCTGGAACAAGGCATCGCTTGCGATGTAGGCTTATCCACCTGTTGTTGGGTTGGTGGTACGATTGCCGCTCAGGTCCAGCGACCGAAACGCTCATAGCACCAATAAATTCGATCGCTGCAGTGCCATCCGACGTGCAACGATGGGATTGGGTAAGAATCATGCGGCAGTCGAACATCAATGTCAGTGGGGGTTCCAATGAAACCACGGGTCGGTCATTGCAGCAACCCTAGACGGGGTTGCCTCCGATGACCTGCACCTCAAAGTGTCAGAATTTTGCTCCCTGATAGCCAGTTGGGTGTTAGTGAGCAAGCTAATTCGCCAGTGTGCTGGTAAGTAGTTTGGTATCGGGACCAACCGACAGTCCAGAAGACGGGTCTCGCATTACAGGCTAGCGGAGACAGTTGCTTGATGCATGCAACCCCATCTGACGGGCCTGGTACTAGTCGGTCGAGGCATGGGGTACGGGACCAGGTTCAGTTCGAGCCATTCCTCGGAGAAGATGAGACAAGACTGATCAGGTAGGTCGGCGGCATACGCGTTGGATGTCATCGTGAGTGTTGATCAAGCGTCTAAAGGCAAGCCACAAGATCATAAGGATGCACCCAAGCTTTCCAAGAGAGTCTTGAGTGCGAAGAAGCTCCAATCCTTCAAAGGTCAATCGGGGCGATGTTGGGAGAAGGCGTTCTGGCCGTGCCCCTTTTAGCGTCTTGGCGCAGCACGTGGGGTACATGATTGGACCGAACGTCCTCTCCTCGCGTTCCCTTCACCACACCAGATGCGCGGCAAGGATAACCCTCAAGACGCGTCAAGCCTTGTGGCGGCCTGGGCTCGCAAAGGCGCATTTTTACGAGTGAGTCTGCTGCTTACAGCGGAAAGGCCGAAGGAAAGATTGCAAATCTGCGGGCGTGCCAGAACGGAATGATCTTACTGGTCCGTGAGTACCGTAGGTTTGGCATACAAGCATGATGCTCAGCACTCGGCGTAAGCTTGAGTGCAGATATATAGCTTGTCCCTGCACCCTCTACCACTGGTCTCCAGCTCCCACAGCCGTCTTTTCCGGACTCAAGCCTCGTCTAATCTCTTGACAAGTCTCGGCAAAGCTTCACAATGGCTCACAAGACAGCTGGCGGCAACGCCGCGTTCCACAACTTCAACAATGACTTCGCGGTATGGTAACACGGTCGACGTCTTAAGTAGCAGCCTTGCTGACTGTTTTTAGCATATTGAAGACCCCAATGAGCGACGCCGGCTTGCGCTCGCTGAGATCGACAAAGCGCCCTTTGGCTGGTACCATGTGCGCGCCATCTTGGTCGCAGGTACGGGTTTCTTTACGGATTCGTACGACATCTTCTGCGTGTCTCTCTTGACGATCATGTTGGGTATCGTTTACAAGCACGACAATAAGGGTGTTCTTCTCACCCAACAAGACACAGCCATCAAGCTTGCAACATCAGCTGGTACTGTTCTTGGGCAAGTCGGATTCGGTACACTGGCCGATATTGTTGGACGAAAGAAGATGTATGGTCTTGAGTTGATCCTCATCATCGTCGCCACACTCGCTCAGTCTCTCACTGGCCCCGGTCCCGGCACTTCGGTTGTCGGTTTGATCATCTTCTGGCGTGTGTTGATGGGAATTGGTGAGTTTATTGTCGAGTTATAAATTGTCGCCTTGCTAATAGCTATCAGGTATCGGTGGTGACTACCCACTGTCGTCCATCATCACTTCTGAGTTTGCCACGACCAAATGGCGTGGTGCTATGATGGGTGCCGTCTTCGCCATGCAAGGTTTTGGTCAGCTCGGTGGTGCTCTGGTCATGCTTTGCCTCGTTGCCGGTTTCAAGGACACGCTCTCAGGCGCTAAGGGCTACGCAGACTGTGATGGTCAGTGCTCTATCGCGGTTGACAAGATGTGGCGTGCCCTTATCGGAATTGGCATCGTCCCAGCCTGCATCGCGCTCTACTACCGTCTTACTATTCCCGAGACTCCTCGCTACACGTTCGATGTCGCCCGTGACGTCGAGAAGGCGAACGCAGACACCAACCAGTACCTCTCTGGTAAGCATGGCAACGGCGACCCTGATGCGATCGCCCAAGTTGCCCAGACCCAGGCCACTGCTCAACTTGAAGTTCCCAAGGCTTCTTTCGGCGACTTCTTTAGGTTCTACGGCAAGCTCCGCAACGGCAAGATTCTTTTCGGCACCGCCATGTCATGGCTCCTCCTCGATGTCGCATTCTACGGACTTGGCCTGAATTCCTCGACTGTTCTCCAAGCTATCGGTTACGCGAACGGTGACAATCTATATCTTAATCTGCACAACCTTGCTGCCGGTAACGCTATCTTGGTGTGCGCTGGAGCTATTCCCGGATACTGGCTTGCGGTAGCGACTATCGATACTGTTGGACGCAAAACACTTCAACTCGCTGGTTTTACCATCCTCACCATCCTCTTCATTGTCTGGGTATGTATATGGTCCAATTTCATGCATCGAATACACACACTAACTGCCACTTAGGGATTCGCCTACAGTCACCTCAGCCACCACGCCATGTTGGCCATCTACGTCCTCATCCAGCTCTTCTTCAACTGGGGTCCCAACACGACCACCTTCATCGTGCCTGGAGAGTGCTTCCCAACTCGCTACCGTTCCACATCCCACGGAATCTCTGCTGGCTCAGGAAAGATCGGCTCCATCATCGCTCAGGGAGCTATCTCTCCTCTTCGAACTCGGGGCGCTACAGCGACGAACAAGAACCCATGGTTGAACCACGTCATGCAAATCTTCTCGGCTTTCATGTTCTGTGGTATCTTCACTACCCTGTTAATCCCGGAGACCAAGCGCAGGACGCTCGAGGACCTTGCGCAAGACTGGGATATGGGTGATGAGTCCATTACTGGTACGGAGTACGCGCGCAAGGCGGAGAACCGCAGCAGCGACGAGGCTGGTACCACTGAGCTCAAGGCTTAGTTTGCGCTGTCGTTTCGCGCGTCAGTCTTTCTTTTATCTCCAGGCTCACGCCTTCATACCCGTATTCATGTAGCATCGATACCTAGACTGTAATGCATTCACTCACATTTCATCAATCTATTTGTGGAAAGAACTATCTTACACTGACCCTTTGAGAACGTTACAGTAATGCTGACATATTGGCCACTAGCATAGAGCTACAGAGTTCCACGCATCTCATCCGAGCGACATTCAGATGGTTCAGCGAGAGCGAGAAGAAGTGTTCTGACGTTGAGAATTGCTTGGGCTGAGCTATTTGCGGTTTAGCCTAGGCCAGTTGCAGCATACCCCGGCTTGGTGCCATGTAAACGCAGGAACAAAAAGAGATCTCCGCTGGTACAACACGTCGTACTGACTGTACTGGCCTGACGTCTGTATGACCTCTACAGCACTGTGCATGACGTTTATGGAGGATCCTACGACGCCACGATCGTAGTGATAGCTGAAGATGTTGCTCGGGTAGCACACGCCGGACTAGCTGAACATCACCGTTGCCGGACGTCCGAGACGTCTAGAGTAAGTGACCAAATCTACTTACGAGCATAAGTCAGCTGAGAGTATGTCTGATATAAAGTCGGGTCGTCTGCTCCTCTATGGCTATGGAACTGCAAGCTCAGAACATCGAGCAATCATCAAGAGCAGAAAACCGGTCACCAAATCCTCGTTTGTCTCATCTCCAATTCACGCCTCAGTTCTCTCACCACCAATCCATACACAATTTAGACACGTCATGTCTCGCTTCCCGGCCGCCAAAGCAGCTCTGCTCTTCGCTCTTATCAGTGTGACCACCGCGAGTTTGACCGGAGTGATACTGAATCCACTCATCAGCGGGACGGAAGGGGCGTTGAAGTGGCAGCCAGTCCTTGACTGGGACAAGGACGTATGTTATCAAACTTCGGCCATAGACTCCAACGGCAACACCAATCCTGGTCTGGATGCAAAGTTTTCCGTAGGAGAGTGTCGCGATTCGTCGCGCCAGTGGAACTGCAACACGTATGCACGTGAACGATGCAACCACGGATGGTGCGTCTACATGTACGCTTACTACAGCGAGATGGACAGGGCTGTGGCTGACACTACCGGACACCGTCACGATTGGGAGCATGCCATGGTTTGGACACGTGGCGGGGCTGCATGGTCCGTTATGTGGTCAGCTCACGGAAACTGTACGACATAAATCACGTCCCATACGTCTAAGATTAAGACTGACTTCTCAATTCAGATGACAACGCCGACCCACGGGATGTTCGCTGGGAGGGTTACCACCCAAAGTTGGTCGCGCACCGCGGCGGGGCGAACACAGCATCACTACGTCTCGCTAAGGCGGCGGATGATAACATTGAGAACGACTTGGGGATCTGGCAGGCATGTCATCTTCAACAGATTGGCGTCATGGACAACGGTCTCGCTCAAGGACTCTTGAACACGAACTGGGGGAATGCCCACATGGACCTGCCTGACGGTCGCTTCCAGGAACAGTTGGAGAAATACATGCCGAAGCAGGCCAGGCAGGACGGCTTTACTGCGCGCGACTAGTACACGCTGGAAGAAGTTCAGTCAAAAGCAGTCGGGTTGTGAAGGTTCGCGATACTTGTGACCCTGAGCATCACATCATGGTTGGCAAAACGAATGACAAAAGTCTCCTCCGGACTCGCCATCACCACGAAGCCTTCACGATGAAGATATCTTACCGGCCAACAGTACCCCCATTCTTCCACAACACTGTCCTTCCGACGCACATCTTTACAGTTTCGCCACTCACCGTCTTTACCAAGTCTCCCATGGCGTAGCAGACTTGTACATGCTAGTCAGAATTTCAGACCTTATATCATGCATTATTCTGTTTCATTTCTCCACATAAACAACATCTCGCTAATGCGATACATTAGGTAGCTCGTGCTGGTTCACTACCCTCACTGAATCTGCCTGCATCTCCGTCCTCGCATGATCCGCCGGCATCTCCTGATATCCCAAATGTCCGTGGTCGCTTTCTCCATACTGTTGAGCATCTTGGCCTGGCATGGAGCTTTCCTTAGTGGCTGGCGTGTGCCCATAACGCCGTCGCCTTCTCTTCCCAAGAAGAAAACCAATTGCTAGTAGTATGAGCACAGCCGCTGTTGTGCCAATTCCCAATCCGGCCTTCGCACCCGTGGACAGGCCGCCAGACGATGAGGACAGGGTCTCGGTAGGCGAGCTGTCATCTGTAGCAGATGTGTATGGTGGGTTCTGCGTTGGCCCAGTGATTGTTTGGCTCGATGTTGTGAGAGAAGCGTGCGCAAGTACCGCCGAGTCTGTTGATTGCCACATGATAGGCACACCGTCACCAAACACCCACCAATCGGAGGCTTGTGTGCTTATGCTCAAATTGCTTGAGCTAAATGGACCATCGTAGATGCGCACTGTGAGAACTTGGTTTGCTGTTACTATGGATGAGCATTGGTGGCCATCTAGAAACAACGAGTATCCACTAAGAGGAAATCAGCGCTGAAGAGTTTGTAGTTTGATGACGCCAACGATGAGTACTTACAGAGGACAGCATAAAGCCGCTGTAGTGGCAGACCCGAGGAAATATGCCGATGGTGTTGGGTGTATGGGAATGGCGCTCGTGAATGTAGTCGCAGCAGTCCAACCGGCAGGGCATATCGCCGGGCTATCTACGCAGCATTAGTCGGTATATCCGATTCGGTTACGACTCGCGCACAGTAATATGCATCCCATCCAGAAGATGGTGCTGGTGCTTCAGATGGATTGGACGCTCTAGGATAACACTCCTGGTCAAAGTCGAGTCTGTAGTGTCCAACGAATAAAGCACCGGTGGCGGACGTAATAGTTTCAGTACATGAGGGTGGAGGCGTGAAAACGGTAGTAATTGAACCGCGATTAAATTCTTTAATAACGTTCTGGTCGGTTATAAACGTTGCTGTTGGTGTTGCAGTCATGGTTGTGTTTTGTACAGAAAGTACTGGAAGCCTCGAAGTAGACTGAACAGGCTCATAAGCGGCAGACATTAATGCGAAACCAAGCTATTTACATGGCTACACAGCTATCAGTTCATTAGGGGCGAAAGCGATCTTAGACCAATCGTAAGCGGAAGAAGGACGCCGAAGCGTCGGTGGCTTTAATAGTACTACGCCCCGCATGCGAGGATGCGTTGTGGCGCTTCCACTCATCTCTAGAGAACCTCCTGTTCTCAAGGTGCAACTTCTGTACTTGATACTATCCCGTTGATGCCTTAGCGGTTTTATGATAATGTCACCGCATTATTGGTTTGTTCCTTCTACTAATCTGATATCGCGTTCCACGATCAAAGTCGCACCACCCAGTGGCGTGTATCTGCAGTCATCATCGAAGGCCTGAAACGCCACCATCTGTATTATGTGCCTACACAGCCCCGCACAGCCTTACACGACAACACATGCATAATTACCTAAACCGCCCCAATCAGCTATATGTTTTCTTGTCGCGACTGGATCGTAGGCTCAACGATGCCTTTGACTAGACCTTTTCTAGTGCAACTACAACAAGCAGAGCTGTGCTAGGGGCGTAGAGACCAGAAAGGGTCCACGGTAAAGAATTCAGCTATGTATCACCACTATCAAGCTGCTGAGCGCGTTTTCATGCGTAGAAACGTCCCCTAATAGGCTTTTTAACACCATCCAATGCCGTACCGAAACTCAGATGCTCCACCGGCCGACGGGTTTCCGGACCACCTCGCCGGTCTACCTGAGCATCATACCAATTTTGAGGCATCTTCACCACGCCCCATGAGAGGAGACTCCTGGAAACGGCTAGCAAATTACTGTGTCCTTCTTCTTCGGCCATGGACACGAGCTCATAACCTTCTCCTTTCCCATTGGTTTGATCAGTAAGCGGGGCTTTGGATAACGGCGATATATGGCAAGCAGCCGCTATGGCCCGCGAGTCTGATCCAATGGGTGGCATGTGCCCGGGCAGTCGCAATAAGCCCAGAAGCCAGGGGATCTGGATGGCGGCGGTGGCCAGGGCCAGCAGTCCGGCTAAGTATGTTGGAGATAGACTCCAAGAGACATAGAAGTCGTCTGGTAGAGATTGGTAGTCTTTCCAGCTGTCCCAACCGTTGGTCGTATCGGCTAATGTGTAGTATCAGTGTCTGCGTGTTGCATATATTCGTTGCGTCTTTGTCTTGGTACATACTATCGGTGTAAAGAGCTACAGATGAGCTCTCTGAAAGGAGGAAGTGCAGAATCGCACTGAGGATGATCAGGAGGATGCTGTATTTATACGGGAGCTGGAGTCTATAGGTCCCAACCTGCTGACCTCTTTTTGAAGCTTTCGTTAGCAAGCTATTCTTCATGTTCTTCGTCAATGTAGATGGCATTGCATCCCCATGAGTGTGTCAGGAAAGACCGGGAAAATACCTGGGCTGAGAGACCCGAAGAGGTCGGAATGACGTGGAGAACAGAGCCCATTCCTGGCTGAGTTGCAGGCGAGTCAATATGGCGTTGTACGCGAAGTACCAGACTGAGAGCAAGAGCTGTGGAATGTTGGCTAGAAGCACTGTCGTGATGAAGGGAACGGAGGAATTGGGTGGTCGGATCGTAGGATTAGTGGTAGTATAGTCCCTACAGTACGGATCAGATAATGCGCGTGATGGCTCGGAGTGGGAACTCACGTCGAGTTATTCTTCCTTATCGTCAACATTTGACATTCTTTGATCAGAACTCCAGCTGCAGCCACGATGAAGGCAATAAAAAAGGCGTATGTACATGCCCATGTTCTTCGTGAAATGGAGGATGCCCGTCTTAGATACGTATACCGCCACAGTATCGAGCCACCATCACTAGCCCCGTGCGTCGACTGTTTCACCAGCATGTCCAGTCTGCCAGCGGTAAATGGGTCCGGATTCGAGATGAACGAAGACAATGCGTCTCCAGGCGTGACCAGGGGCTCCTGAAAACCTAGAACCAAGACAGTTATCACGCAGATGACCACTTTGACCAAACAAGCTAGTGTAACGGCCAAGAGAAGAGGGTTCGATATGCCCACTTCACAGGCTGAACCGGATTTTGACTGCAGTATGGCACTGTTGAAGAGAAGATGCAGAGGCAGCGACGTGATCAATAAGGCGAACCACGCCACCCTTTTGAAAGGAGATAAACGCATTGCGTTCCGCCATGATAGCACTCCGATGTCGACTGACCTTCCCCGCGCGTGCGACACATCCACTTCTGCACGAGTTGGCGAGCTGAGTACCTGCGAGAAGAAACTGGACGACGCCAGGACCGCACTCGATATACCGTTGACGAGTAGGTGGAGGATCGTGTTGATAACATCCGATGTCGAGTAACCCGATCTCGATACACTGCACTGCGATCTGTGGAACAGGAAGGTGTTGCGCACCACGGCCGCTCGGTTTGTCTCAGGCCCACCGTAATTCGGTTTGTTTATTCGTGAGAGGTCTGTTTTGAGCATCGAAGCCACGGTGAAGCCGCAAAGTAATAGCGTCAGAAGGGTCATCGCGCCGATGTTCAGGATGGCTAATCTCCTCCATCCGGTTAGCGTGGGGAGGAGCTTCGGGAAGCAACGGTTTAGCCTGCCCATGATTGTACAAACATTAATGGGAGTGCGAAAACCGGGAGGACGAAGATAGGAAGCTGGGGACTGTTAGATCGTTATGTTTGAAAGACCTAAATAGCCACTGCCTTAGCTCCGCCATCTTGTGAGATGGTGGAGGCTATGTAGAATAAGTGTGGGGGCCAAATCAACGCGCAAGGCTGAAACTGACGCGGGGCGACTGCCCATCATCTACAGATCGCCGTATCCTGAAAAGGCTCACCCACGATTATGGAGGGAGAGCCATCTAACGAGTGAAGTGGCTGTTCATTATCGTCGCGAGAACCAATTAATGATACCCGGCGTCAAGTCATTTCTAATACTTCGTGATTACGCGCTCTGTGTAGCTGCGCGTAGGGAAGTCCATCTTCTGCAAGGGACTTGGGGCGACCACAACGGCGGGTGTAGAAAGGTATCCTGTTGCCCACCTGCACCGATCGCAAAAAGAGTTCCGACATCCTCTTGCTTCCACGTTGACGCGGTGATGCCTAAGGGAGTCGCCATCGTTCTTACGACGAACACGGTGCGATACGCGCATGGAGATTGGCACTGTTCAAGAAGACTGGAGCGGTAGTCTGACGTACCTAGGTACTTGTGCGCGCGACGGCCGTGGTCGCGTAACGCCCTGCTGCTTGACCACACGCCGGAAGGGGGGCATCAACAACAGTATTGGTGTGATGACACGAAATCCCCGTCCTTACAATCGCATCGGCCGGTAGCTCGGCGCGCCGAGCCCCACGATCATTTCACCCACCCAATCGCGAGCAGGCTGTCCTGCACCTCATACTTATCCATATGTATATATACCGTTGCTTGCAACACCAACTCGATGAAATTAAAATACGTCCTTACAATCGTTGGTGTGGTGCAAAGCTTCGGGTATTAAGATTCTCCACTCAGCCTCGCCTAGCGTATAGCCGTCCAATCATCATACAGAGAACCCG